GAAATCGCGAAGGAGAGCCAAATGACACCAACGGGTCCCAGGGCAACCTCCTCCCATCCAGAAACCCCTATTTGTTTTGTTAACCCGTGTCAGACTCTTCGTGGCCTCCATGGACCAGAGCAGGCCAGGCAAACCCCTATAGATGAGCACAAGCAGACACCTTTTTTTGGAGAGGGGGCGAGCGGGATTCCTCTCCTGCCTTGGCTAGGAGAAACCCCTATAGATGAGCACAATCAGAGGGGGGGCGGGATTCCTCTCCTGCCTTGGCTAGGAGGAAGTGAAGAAGATTGTTGGAGAGGAGATAGGAGACGCAGGCTTTTGCCATTTTAAGCTGCGTGCTTTGCTCAGTAAAAGCAGGAGGTCTGGGGCCCATTCTGGCTCTTCTCAGCCTTTAAGAGGAGAGTCACCGATCTGTCTTTTGTGTGACCCTCCTCTCTGCCAGCACAGGTCTAGAGACCGAACCCTGACTCCCCTGCCAGATCTGTGGCTGCCGTAACTTCTCACCTGTGAAATGGGGACCAGTGAAGGCCCACCTTGCAATGCAGGCTGCTTGAACAGGAAGGGAGGAGCAGGGGGGACACGGAGGTGCCTTCCAAAAGAGGGATGGAGGGGGTGTTCCTTCTTAGGATGACCAAAGGGAGCAATAACAGTCCTGGAGCAGAAGAAAGGGTCTCGGTGGCTGCGAGGGTGGCGAATCCCCCTAGCCAAGGTGACCCCAGGTGGCTGCGGTCAGCATCAGGGGCCAGGCACCCTCAAAGCCCACTAGGCATCCGGCTGGCCCCCTTACAGCCAAGTGCTGGACCCCATGTGCCCCTTTCGGCCTGACCCATTATTAGGGCTCTCACCACGATGTGGTATGAAAAAACACCAGGTTCCAGAAAATTGGCTTTTTGGGGCATGGGGGGGCGGGGGAATGGTGTTCCAGTCCTCGTTCTCCCTTTCACACAGAGTTTGCGGGCGGCCTGAGAAAGGAAGAGAACCAGGACCCATTTCCACATGTGGGGTCCATTCAGGGATGTAGATGCTGGGCCTAGCAACCGGTGAGAGTTTGTGTGGAGTTATCAGCCGATGGCAAACCTATGGATCAGGCGGGTGCCTCTGAACGCAAGCAGAGTGCCCACTGCTTTCCTCTGTACCTCTTAGACTCGTGAACGAGTTGCAGGCGAGCTCCCAACCCTGGGCTCCTTTCCCTTGCCTGAAACAGTAGAGCTAAGCAGAGGTCCTTGTGATGGGTTGTTGCGGAGGGCCCCCCCACCAAAAAAATTGTATTTTCCAGGCTCTGAGGCTGCCGCATGGCACACCGGCCCTCCCCCTGGCTGGTGCACAGCTGCTAGGGACCCAGTGCCCCCGACGTGCCCCCCACCAGCCTTCTGGGCACTTGCTTGGCGTGCAGGAGAAGGCGGTGCTGGTTGCCTGCTTCGGAGTCAGTGATGCTCTGTTTCCATGGCAGTTGCTTTTCCTGCTGGGATGGCGAGCCCTGATTGGCTGCCGCTGCCGGAATGGAAGAGGTGGTTGGAGAGGCCGGGCCCAAACGCAGCTCCTCCGTGGGCTTCTTCTTCCGCTGTTGCTGTTGCTGCTGCAACGGGAGGGCCCAGGCAAGAGAGCTGGTGGAGGTGGTGTGTGGCAGGCGTCTTCCCTCTCAATCTGTAATAAAGTGTGTGTGTGTGTGTGCGCGCATGCATGCATGTGTGTTTATCTGGGCCTTTCATTTATTTGCTGGCAGGAGGAGAAAACTTAACTTTGGGGTCCAGGCACAGCAGGTGGCATGGAGAGGGGAGGAGAAGCCAGCTGGGGGAGCAGGGAGGGAGGGAGAAGGCAGGGTCGGGAAATTCCCCGGGATGAGGTCAGGGAATTCCCCTCCAGCCCCTTGAATGGAGCAGAGGTCCTCCAGCCCTTCCCCCACCCTCCACTGCTGACCTGGCTTATCTACAGGGTTAGAGTCACACAGACAGCGACATCTCCCCCACATGCGCCCAAGGAGAGATGCTCCCAGTCCATCATCCTTTCTAAGGATCTCTGGAGTGCCCTTTTCAAAGTGCCCAACCAGCAATTCTCCTGCAGTGGAACTAGGTGAGAATTTACACCCTCCAGGAAGTTTTGAACGGGGGTGGGGCTGGCTCTGTCATGAGGCAGACTGCAGGCTGCCGGTGTCATGAAGTGCATCGAAGTTTTTGTCGCTCATTTATCCTTGTTGGAATGGGTCCGGGTTTAGTCAGATCACATTACCGAAATCAATGGGAGTGGAGCATACCCTGAGTTGGTGTGTGATCCCAAGCTAGAAACAAGTGAAGACATTTTGACTATGACAGAAGTATGAAGAAGCAGACGTGGAAATTCCTGGCTCTGGAAAAAGAAAGGGCAAAATGGTTTGAGTGCCACACACCCCGTCTCGGGAGACAACACCCTTTCCCTCTCTGTCCTCGGTCACACAAAAATGTTTGGGTCATCCTCGGGGCACTGGGCAAGATGTCTTGGCCATGTGGGGCCAAGACCAAAGCCAGGTGCACCTGAGCCCCAGGTGAAGCGTGTGGAGTGGGATCTCTGTAGCCACTAACAGCCCAGTTCCCAGAGGTTGGTGGCGGTTTATGTAGGGAACGTGGCTGGTGTTGTGGTTCCAATGGAAAGGGAATGTGATAATCCTCATGTCAGGGAGAGCCAATAATGCACTTCTTGGGTTTCTCTCCTGTATGTCCCTGTTCTTTCCTTAAAACTTCTGATTGACACTTGAGATGGATAACTTTGTGCACAAGTAGAGTCAATTGCACGGGTAGAAGGAAACGGCTCTACAAATAGACCGAGTAACTGCCAAGGTTTTCAGGAATGGAGCAAAACAGATGATAATTGGTCAAATTCTGGGCTTGACAGGATAAAACGAGAATTCTGATTGGCTGCTCAGAGGGTGAAGATATTTAAAGAAAGGAAGGAAACGATTAGACGTTTAAGCAATTTTTAATTGAATAAACCCTGCCATGTACTTTTGATGTGGTTTTCTGTGTATATGTTGTTGCAGGCTGTAAAGTAATCCCTCCCACCCCAACTAGGCTAAGATTCGTTGCTAAAAATATCAGTGTATTCCTATGCTTTTGTATCTATGAAACACAGACACATGCCCCTATTCTAACGAACAGTTCTGGGGGAAAATGTGGCTATTAATTTATTTAATTATATGGGGAAGTGGGGGACAAAGCTGTGCAAAACACTGACTTTTATTAACATCTCTCTGCTTCGGTTGTGGAATTGCACATGCAAACTCTTGTACAGACGACTGGCAACTATCACACAGAAATGTGAGAGATAAACGCTGTGAAAAGGCCCCTTATGAGAGGCAGAAGTTGTAGAACCTTGGCCACATTGCCTCGGTTGGCCAAGGAAGGAGTTGGCCAGAGTGGGCCCTGGGATTATATAGAAGGTAACTTCCAGCTGCCTCCCCTGGCCTCATGCTCTCTGGCGCTGTGAGACCACCATCTGGGAAAACAAAGAAAGTGGGCAATGGGGTGCAGTGGGGGGGGGAACCAGGCCTGGGAATAGTAAAAAGACTCTGCTGCCCCTGTGGGATCAGTGTTCCCCCCCTGCCCTGCTCCCGTGCTCTGAAATGCTCCCCCCAACTCCAGAGTCACAAGGCTTCCCTCTGGTTTGCTTCACCCGAACTGTAAGGGCTGTGCCATCAAGTCCAAACCGATGTATCACAATCCTGATAGGGCTGTCAAGTTGAGATAGTTGAGGAATTCTATTCCCCCCCCCTCCCGATCCAGGGAGTTTCCATGGCTGAGTGGCAATTCAAACTCTTGTATCCAGAGCCCTTTGCCTCTCACTCTATCCACCACACTGAGGGGGTTGAACTATTCTTTGACAAGTACATGCTGGCCGGAGTTTGTGAAATCCTCTAGCTATAACTTGCAGCTTAGCATTAAAGGCTTCCTTTCACCTTATGGACAGCGTCCCTCTTTTCCTCTCTCTTTCCCCAGAATCGGTCAGATCCCCACTCTGCTCCGATGGAGACCTGACTGCTCTCTCCTGCAAAGGGCGGAAGTCCCTTTTGGGGCCCGGTGGACATCTAACAAGGTGAAGAATCTGTGGCAATTCAGTCTTTGAAACTGTGCTGTGTCGTAACTAAACCAACTTATAAGTGTGTAAATTTGAGGGGCTTGGGAGTCTTGGCCTCCCTCTAATCCACCCTCCCCCCTCTGCTCCATCCGGCACAACTAGAGCGTCCCTGACAGATCACCACGGCGCCACCTTGAACCTACTTAAGTGTCTGATTTTGGAAGCCAAGTAGGGTCCAGCATCTACGCACCCTCCCTGGCCAGCCAGGTGCATGGGAGCTGTACCGGTCCATGACTGTGGAGCATTCAGGATGGCTGCACTGGTGATGCTGGTGGGGGTGGGGGGCTACAGAAGAGCATCCAAGCACATCCAGTGTGCCTTGATGTGGCAAAGCTGTCAAGTGAGAGACGGTGGGGGAGGGGGTTTCAGGCAGGAGAACCCTGGCTTGGCACCAATCTCAGCTCCTCTAAAGACTCACTGGTGGGCCTCTGCCACTTCCCATCTCCCTGTCTCAGTTCAGGTAGAGTGCTCCTCTCCTTGGGGCTCATGCTGTGGGAAGGGAGGCAGTGGCTGCAGTGGGAACAGGACACCCTCAGAGGTGTGCGGGCAGAGAGGTTGTCAAAGGGGGTGTGTGTGAAGTCACCCCCTGGTGCACCATTATACTTGGTGCACACCTCTCACCGGCCATTGTGGCATCGCCTGTACCTCCTGGCAAGGACATGGATCTTTCAGCTACCAGGTGCAGCCCCTTCAGCATCCGGGAGGGCCACCGAGGCCGGCCAAGGCCGACCTGGCCGAGGGTGCCTGGCCCTGCTCAAGAGGTCCAGGCACCCAGGGGGAGCCTCCCATCCCATCCCATCCCATCCCATCGCCTTGTGCCCCGCTCTCATCCTGCCCCTTGCCCAGCCCTTGACCGTGCCCTGCGGAGGGGAGGCTGGGCCCTGGCGGTGGCGTGATGGGGTGGGAGGGTCCGTCCGCCTGGGGAGCCCCTCCGCCAGCAGCGCCTGGGCAGTGGGCTCTCCGGCTCGGGCGCCGTGTTGTTGCCGTGGCGCTGGGCGGCGTGGCG